TAAATTATTATTATTATAAAAAAGACCCTCCTGAGGATGGTAAGATCATACCTTTTACACAAGAAAAGGCTGGTACTAGAAATGAACAAACAAAAGTGTATGTGGCAAAAAATAGTGTTAAATAATTAGTTTTATGACCTGAGAATTATTTTATGTCTATCCTAGACTATGAGATACTGTTTACCCTTAACTGTTACTTGGGGTTTATATAGTGCTTTATATTTCCAGTGCATTGCAGAGGTATCAGTTGCTAAATGAAAAGTGTTACGTTGCTTGTGTTGCTAAGTTGCTGTGCACATGTGAACTGGCCCTGAAGCTAATCTCATTCTGTGAATTTAATTAATTTGCAAAATCTAGTTTTGATGGGGCATACTGAACCCTTGTCAAAAGTAACAAGACGTGTTAAAAAAGAAAGCCTACAAAATGTGTGCTCTGTTATCTCGTCTTACACTAGGCCAATCTAGGCCATGGAAAGATATGATCACCACAGATCACTGAAATGGCAGCACAGCTGTTCCCAGGGAACTGCCAAAATCATACTGAAAATTGGAGCTGGGTGAATTCCCTGCACTAATACTGAATTTGTAGAAAAATGCAGTTTGCATCCTTCCAAAATTACCTGTCAAATTATGCTCAATTCCTTTTCCTTCCAAAGGGGCTTTATGTGACTTTTCAGCTACTTTGTACAAATGAAACCACAGAAGGAGAGATCAGAGTTGCCTGAACTCAGCATACCCTGTGGCTTTCCTGGGTGGAGGATCTGGGTTCAGATCAGCTCAGGAGGGGAGAGAACTGGCCCCAGGTCTCCCACATTTTTGGTGACGTTTTAACTACAGAGATGCTGGGTAAAACAGTATATCTTCACATCAGTTCTCTGTCTTCCTATTTCCTCTCTTCTGCTATTTCTGGTTTTAAGTACAGTTGCTTGAAGAAAAACATTTTATTTTCAGTGCATAGAATTCTTCCAGCTGACAAAAAAGCAATTTTTCATTTGTTCCAATAAGTAAAAATACAAGGAAACAAATTTTTACTATTTTTTTTTTCAATTCAGTAATCAAAATGAACATATACTCCCCCAATCATACTGCAAACCTTAACAAACAAAAGCAAAAAAAAAAAAAAAAGCAGCCAAAAGCAGCAAGGACACGGGTGTAACCCTCTACTTCTAGTGGGTCACTGTTTCCATCCTTTGCAGTCTTTGGGTAACAGCACAGAGATGCAGGAGGAATCCAAGGGCATGCCAGAGCTACATAAGGCATCTTCTGTAGCTGACTTGCACTTCCACATGACGCTATTTTTGTGTGGTTTTGCTCCCTTCTATGCAGTGGAAAAGAGTGCCAGGCTCTCCAATTCTGAATTCTCCAATTCAGATAATGATGACATTCTTACACAAGAATTTCTGCAGCCTCAGGAGAGGGGAGGGAGAGTTTGAGTGTCTTACATTACCTTTTCTGTCTCTCCAGAAAGGTTTTTTGAAGACCATGAAAATGTTGTTGAAGTGTTATCAGACTGGACTCGAGACACTGAGAATAAGATTCTGTTTTTGGAAAAAAGTGAAAAATATGCTTTATTTAAAAATCCCCAGGTAAGCTAACATGGTATTTGGAGAAGAGTCTAAAATTATGTCATTTAATCTGCATGCTGCCTGTTACATTATTAATTTGCTTTCAACTCTGTCAGTTTGGAATTAGAGAAAGCAAAACTTGTGCTTTCAACAAAAAAAAAAAAAAACAAAAAAAAACCAAACCAAGATGTTGAACGCAAGGATTTGAAAATTAGTACTTTCTGTTCTTTTCTGATACTATTTTAAAGTCCCGTCTGCAGTGGTAAAAAATGAGGCATGTAGTTCTCCACTGGTACAAGCTGTTGCTTAGGCACAGCTCTCAGAACTGGACTGAGATGGCACAGCGGTAAAAACCTGGTCTTTGTCATTACTATAGTTTCTCCGCTGTTCGTACTGATGAAAATCAACATTTCCTTGAAGGTCCGGTTTTTGCCAGGTGTACATGAAACTTAAGAAAGAATATGCTGAGTACCACAGAGAGTTTATCTGGGTTTCGTTTAGACTGGGGAAAAGAATTGGGTAAACAGTAATGTGTGCACACTATGTTTGTAAAAAGAGAATCTGGACATTGAATTGTGTCAAATTATTCAGGATAGGTGTATACACAAATCATTTATTTCTTGTGATATGTGGTCAAAACCGTATTTACAAACACCCTAGCACATACAATTGATGGATTCTGGGGTGCTAGATCTTTTTCCCCTTGTCAGCAGTCTGTTAGCTCACTGAGCATCTGGTTTGTTCCTGAGGGCAGCAAAAGAAAAATGAGCAATTCAGCATTGCTGAAAAAAATGAGTCAAATATATAATTTGGCAGCCAGTCTCACCAAGCTGCTCATTAGGAAGTCTTTTTTTGGAATGAGCCAGTGTTTCAAATAAAACCTGCAGAGGAGAAGTTTCCTTCATTGACATAACAAGTATCCACAGTCAGGGAAAGAAAACTTATCCTGCAGTGTACATGGATTGGTGTTGATTTTTAATTTGAAACAGCAAAGCCACGTTTGGAAGTAAAACATACATGATGGCTCAAGATACCATACTTTCTAATGCACATAAACATACCTACCAGCAAAAGTTTGATTCCACATTTGATTTGTACACTATTAATGCTGTTTGCCGTGGCTTAGGGCAGGGCCGCAAATCTCCCACAGGAAGTCTTTGTTGAAGATTCTGGATATTTTGATTGCAGTGGCCTTTAGAAATAAACATGACCTAAACCAAAAACAGAATAAGAGTGTAGTTCTGTTCTCCCATCTCAGGACATGCTGAGCTTGATCTGGACATGTCTGCAGTCCTTCAGCTTCAGCCCCTCTGTGATAAGCTCTAAAATGAACAGCCTAAGGAAACTGGATCAGTTGCAGCTATCACACTATTGAGATATTTTGCCAGTAATAAAGTCTAACCATCTGTCAGGCTTAGTAAGTTCAAACATTGTGAGACAGACAGAATAGTACAGTCATATCTGTGGTTTGTCTTTTTGGCAGAAAATAATCAGTATTGCACAGACAGAGCTCACACTAGATAGTGAAACATGGTAAAATACATGACCTGGAGTCCCTGAAGAGGTAAACCAAGCGGAAATGCTGAGTTGTTGGGGGGCAGGGTGTGTGATTACCTAACTAACTACTTACAGAAATTATGGTGTAACCAATGGGAAACTGAAATCCCTGTATTCTTAGTATATTTTGCCTCCTCCTCCTAGCTTAGAGTTGCTTCATAAACTCATTTCGTGAGTACAGAAATTGCAGAATGCTTTTTTTTGACACTGCCAGTAGTAACGCAGCAACGGTTGGATTCCTTGGTTTTTTTTAGTGCTCGTTCAGTTGGGGGTTCTCTATGGAGATCTCACAGTTTTGTAATTTGCAGATATTTTTCTGGAAAAAAAGAGGCAAATTCGGTGCCTACAATTTATTGTTAGACAAATTAGCAATACTATATTTTCTTTACAGTGGTTTGGCACAATGAAGTGCTTTTAAAAATTTAATTCTAAAGATGTCCATATACATTGCTAAATCAAGTGGACCTCTGCAGAAGGTCTATGACCTATGCCAATATTCATGATTCCTTTCTGTGAACTAGTTACATACCTGGTATGGATTAAACAACAATTAATTAAATGTGTTTCATTTTCTAAGGAGGAAATTAGATTTTGAAATGCAGGATTTATCCTCTATGTCTGTGCTAGCAACATGCTGCTCAGCTAATGCCAGTGGCTATTATTGAAGACTGTCATTCTTGTCATGCACTCCTTTAATATTTTTCTGCGGCTTTGTTTCTGAAAACAATTTTTAAAAGTATTTGGAATACATTTTGGAAAAAGCATTTGCAAAATCCTGAGGTCTCCCCCTCTTCACAAAGACAGGCACACTTTTGCCCTTTGCTCACTGTGATATAATTTACGAATGGCATCAGTGACTCATCTACAGAGATGGAGCATCACAAGTCTATGACTAAAAAGTGAAACAAAAATACATATTGGTACATGTGCAAATAAAGAAAACCGTTATAATGTAGGAAAGGTGATGCTTTGTCATGCGATTGAGTGATGCTGTGCTCAACTCTTGAAAGGAAAGGTTGTCAGGTCTCAACACCTCTCTTCAAAAAGCTCAAAGAATAATTCTCAGCTAAAAGAGACTCTAAAAAGAAAAATGTAGAAAGTGCTTTTGCATCATTTAAAAAGGTTATTTGTAAGGGGCAGCTGAATCTAAGCTCCTGACTCTAAATGCTGGTCATGCTCTTAGAATACTGTATCTGATTTTTGCTTCCATGGATTTTTATTTCCTGTGTTTCTCTTTTGCTGATACAAGCAAAGAGGATAAATTTAAACAGTGCAGGTGTTGTGTGTGCAGGCACCACAAGCATGTGGAGTTTTTTTTGTTGTTTTTTAAAATTATTATTATTGACATTATTTGTGAAAATGAATGAAAATCTGTACAGCGAGTACTTTATGCTTCTGCTTCCTTGTAAGTAAGCAAGAATTATACCCTCCAATGCAGAACCCATACACTGAATTTACATTTTATTTGTTCTGAAAAGCAAGAGTACTAAACAGTGTGAGAAGGAGGTGGGGTGAGAATTTGTAATGTCTTTCATAACAGCAGAGTTATAGTGAGTCTCACACTTGAATATTTATTTTGAAGTCAGTGACATTGGGCTGGTATCCACCAGGTGATAATTTTGTTTTTCACCACTTTGGCTACCTTTATAAATCAAGGTTTTTCTTTTGTCTCCGCTGTTACCCAGTGAAGGAAACGTAGAAGGGTGGGGCAGGGAACTTGATTATTGAGTGTTCTGGCAAATGCACAAAGAAATAGAAGTGAAAAAAAGGAAATGTTTTTCACTGTACTCCCACTGTTTAGTGGTCTTAATTTCTTTCTCTGTTAGTATACCTCAGACTATGGTATAGTTTCAGGCTGAAGATGCTATTTCAATAAATATTTTTCTTTTTCTACCTTGAGACTTGTGGCTGCCCCATTCCTGGAAGTGTTTAAGACCAGGTTGGATGAGGCTTTGGGCAACGTGGTCTAGTGGAGGGTGTCCCTGCCCACAGCAGGGGGGTTGGAACTAGATGATCTTTGAGGTCCCTTCCAACCCAAACCATTCTATGATTCTATGACTGTAACACAGAAACAGTCTTTATGCAATTGAACTGTTTTGCAGGCAACTTTTGATCAGCCTATTAACTGCTTTGCTGTTAGCTGCATCCTAGCTTATGTATCTTTCATTTGTTCATTTGTTTGCTTACATGGCACCAGAGATGTTCTTTAAAACTATTGAAAACACCTTCTGTCTTCCACTGTTTGAGGGTTATACGGTGGAGAGATACACAGCCTGAATTTTTTTCCTGCCTTTCCACACAAAGGGACATGGCTGTATCCCTAAACAGAAAGATTGTACGCATAGACTAGTAGTACTTTACAATACAAAGCACAAAATTAACTTAAGCTGGCTATAAAATCTACAGGATTTTCTTTTGTGCATGTAGAATTTCCTGCTCATAGATGGAAGCCATAGATTGGTCATCAGCTAGTTTTGCTACTGTCTTGCATAAGCACAGGGGGAAATGCTGGCATAACGTCTCTTAAGGATGTCATAGCTGGCTAGCAGTACGCGTCAAAACTGCCACTGTAGCTCTGCATTAGTCTGAGTCAGGCAGAATGGCATGGGAGAGCGACTGGCTTTGTGTCAGCTTCAGCTGGTCTAGGGTGTGTAGGCACAGGGAATAACTGAGCAAAAACGCTCGACTGCTCCTCTCTGCAGCAAATACCCCAAACAGTGCAAACAAAGCAAACCCAGTGACGAAGTGTGCCAGTATACAGTGTTTTGTTTTTTTAAAATAACCTTTTCTGTTTGCTTTTTTATGTATCAGCCCAAGAGGATGAATCCATCCTGTTAACTAAGCTCAGCTCTCTATCAAGAAAAAGACATTGTCTTTTGAACGTAAAAAATAGTTAATTCTCAAATCTGTAGATGTATGCAGAGAGCTCTCCTGTAGCCACATCTTGTCCCATTGGTGACCTGACATCCCAAACCAAATGTGTTTCCTGATGGTGTCCTCAGACAGGAAAGAGCTTGCCTTTTATCATGACCTTTGACTACTGGACTTGGAATGACCTTCTGTGGACACATGTGGTTTGCCTTCTATAGGATGAATGCTTCTGATCAAAAATAGGAGACCACACAGTGATAAGTACAGTGTAGTCTGCTCCCCAGGTTTTTAGCCACTGACAGATAGCAAGTACCATGTACTTCCAGATTTCAGGGAAGAGACATAAAGGAGGTAATCAGTAATAAATGAGATGTGTGTTGACAGGTGAAAGATGATGGTATACATCTGTGTAACATTGGTTTAGGTGACAGAGCCCTGTTTCCCTAATGAAAAAGCTGCGTTGTTAGAGATCCAGCATGGATATCACTACAAACTTTCTCTCTTTACCATTGATTATGTCAGTACAGGGTGGTCTGCGTTTCTGCTAAATAAATGCCAGATGCCTGAATGTGAATCAGTTGTAATCAGTGGAGCTTTGTTTTCTTATTATCAGTGCACTGAAGGCTGACTGATCCAGATGAATGCTCTCCCTGCTGGTAGTAAAGCTGATGAGCCAAGCCTTGTTGAGACAGTGATAAGGTGTACTTACCTTGATAAATCTTCATTGTGCATTTCAGAGGTTGTACTATGTCTTTATAATCTATAGAAGAAGAAGAAGGCTTACAGCTTGCCTGTCTGTCTACTTTCCAAATCCATCCCAAAGTCTGGAGGCCCAACCCAGCCTACCAGTGACCTCTGAGGTTTCTCTTCATGCCTTCATCACTGCAAAAGCGGGTGTGCCAACGTCAAGCCAGCAGTGCTCTGATAGTGCTCCCTGGTAAGAAGAGCTGTTGCACGTGTACAAAGGACTTGGCTGCACCAGCTCAGAACAATATCTTTTTTTTTTCAGTGGAATAGGTGGAGCATTGTCACTTAGTCAGACCTATGGTTTTGGACTGTATAGGCAGGCATCGCTGTATGGGTTGAACTGAGAACACACTTTTAAGCAGGTTTTGTTTTGAGCGGGTTTGGTTTTTTTCCACTATGAATACTGTCTTCAGATGTAGTCACAAAACTGTGGTCCTTAGTGTTTGCTTACCTTCATCCATGGACTAAAAATGTGCCCAGGCAGTCTGGAGTCAGCTATGTGCTGCTGCATATCCTAGCGAAGAATATTGCTGTATTTCCCAGCATAGCCATCTGTTGTATCGAATGTTCAAGTTTCTTTTCTTATGTTCATATCACAGACATGGCATCAGCATTGGCCAAATTGCAGGTGGCTGTGTTTCTGATGTCCCCTGTCTGAGTTAATGTAAACTTCTATGAAAGCAGTTTTTAAAGAACTGTTTTTGAGGTCATCCACACCTCTTCCCCTTCCTCTCTTGGTGCCTCTCCAAAACCCATCTGCTATGAGGCTTGAGTTCTGGCAGACAGCTGTTTACAGCACTGCTTGAAAATGAAGATGTGGTTGTGTAGAAGAACAAGGTTTCACTTCAGATAAACCTCACTGCTGTAAACATAGTATGCTGGCAGGGCAGATTTGCTGCTTGTTTGTTTCTTTCTTACACTGTAGCAACAGCATGATCCTTCATTTACACACTTCTCATTTGTCTTTTGGTAATGTTTGCATTTGTGTTGCAGTTCAGTTGTTGTGGAGTTCTAGGCATGTAAATATGTTGCCACATTCTCCTAGTCTTGAGACATGAAAAAAATGGGGAGAGATGTAAAGTCAGATAAAATCTTGGTTTTGTTCCTACAGAATTGCTGAAGAATTACAGAATTAGGAGTAATTTTTAAGTAGATAGCTTTCAAAATTTGTCAAGTTTTTACAATTTTGTCTCTTTCTTAGACAATAGTGTTTGGTTTATGCCCTTCATTCTGCAAACTTAGCTTTTTTACTAATTCCAGGGAATCAGTAAGACTGTCCCATGCAGCAGGTATTTTCCAAACCCAAGCTCCTCTTCTACGTGTACTTTTGTTCAGAAAATGATAAAACACAAGATCTTTGAGTGTTATCATTCTGGCCTCAAGCCCATAGATCCAAATGCTACTTGATGCATGGCATAGCTCCTTGATCTACCTGCTTCCTTCATGCCTAGCTGCCTTATTGTCTGCAGGCAGCTAGGCTCTGGTATCTGGCCATGCTTGCTGTTGAGCAAAGCCACTGCACACAAGTCCTAGCATGCTCCTGAGCTACCTTCCCACTGCCTGAATTTGCACGTATGTCCAAGTGCTATCCTTTTGTCCATCTGTACAATGCAGATGGATGCAAAATTGGTTTTGCTATTTAACAGTGGGTGAATTTATTTTTACTGGTAACTGTGTGCATGAGGCGGTGTGCTTCCTTGTTTGCAGGGGCAGACAGGCACTGGGTCCTCTGAGGGTGGCTGCAGCCTCATGCCCTCTGTCACAGAAGCAGAGGGACATTTCAAAGCATAGGCTTTTGTTTCAGTAGGCTGGACCACATGTGCCGAGATATCATGGTGATAATTTCTTCTGATTTTTTCTAGATTTTTGAATACTTTCTTCATTGCATAAAAATACTTTGCAGAGCATGAGCAGGGGTTTAAAAGTAGGAAGTAGTAACTTTGGATAAAGGCTTTGGCATATAAGTACTTTTATAAAAAATTAAGAGCTGAGTTGTATCCGGAGTGCCAGATATGAAGTGTGCAAATTACCAAATTGGGTTGTTAGGAAAAATGCTTTCTAGCTTTTTGATACTGCATTGTATTTATTGCATATCAGCATGCAATAAAATGTTATGTTCTCTGCTGTCTGTAATAATAAAGGAAGCAGTGAAAATTGGAATGACAAAATCAAACCCATTGATCGAGAAAAATAGTCAAAAACATAAACCAGTGCTGTTAAAATTTTGGGAGACTGTGTATACATAAGCAAAAGTAATTTTGTATTACTTCTGAATTAAATTCAAAATAAAGAATTAAAACTCATGAACAGGCAGCTGTGATTGAAGTTTTCTGTAAGAAGAGTCCATAAGCATCTGCCTCTTACATCTGCTTGCTTGGTTACTCAATACTGAAAGACTGAGTAAGTATTGAATGGGTTTGTAGTAATCTACTTGTATTGCTGTCTTTATAATGAGCATCAATTTCTTTTGTGTCTTAATCAGAATTTCTACCTGGCAAACAAAGGGAAGAATGAAAGCAAAGAAATGAATGATAAAAACAAAGAGGCTTTACTGGAGGTAAGCCAACTTTCTAGGTTCATGATGCGAACGTTACCAAAACTCTGCCACCATCTGCATCTGCTCTGCCACAACAGCATTTAGTTCTTTGTGGGCAAATGTGTTATACAAATATGAATAAAAGAAACAGCTGTGCCTAAGAAACACCCTTAGGCAAGCCTTTGTGACTTTATATTTTTAGTAAGATTGATCAGTAGCAAACAATTATGGTTTGGGTTAGAAGTAGATGTAGTTCTCAGCACAAATTGTTAACTGTACTACAACAGAAAGAGAACCTTTGCACTTTTCCAGAAAGTCTGTTTAGCCTCTTGCCTTTCATGCTTAAGTTTTACTTCAGTTATGTGTTTGAGAGAAAAAAATCCAGAGCTATATGAAAGAAAAGATTATCACAGTTCTCCTGGCAAACATTTTGACTTTGGTAAAAGTTCACAAAGGAAATGCTGTTATCAGGTGACTGAGGATTCCCATTTCAAAATAAACGCATCTCATGAAGGCACCAGATGTCAACCAGCAAAAGTCTTGGTAAATTGTAAATTAAAACATTAAGCGATAAGTGTGTTGGCATTAAAAATTGCCCAACAGTAAGTCCTTCAAGCAAACAATGAAGTACATTTGTTTAAACAGTGTTGTAAATGCTAGCATGTATTTCAAAGGGAAAGCAGAGATTGACAGGGATTTTTTTTTCTTTAGCTGTTTTTAGAGCTCTAGGCAGTCTCTAAAGATTCTCTCTACAGAACCAATAGAGACAACCCAACAGCAGCAGTACCAACCATTCTGTTTTATTGCCTTAACTGACCACATCTATGTCTAGTTAAAACCTTTTGTAGGTTTTTGTTTGACCTTTTAGATAATGGAGGTTTTGTGAACCTTCTTTTCCAGTGTGAGCACCCAACTCGCTTGGCCAAGTTACCACATTAGCTTGGAAAAGTTTCCTTTGCTGGTCTAAGGTGTTCATCTCCCTGGTAACTGCATTCCCCATGTTCATATGTTCACTGTCACAGGAAATGTCTTTATTTTTCAAGGGAGCATTTTTCTGCTATTTATTAATGGAGTTGCGCTTAAATCAATTTATTTTGTGTATTATTATTCTTGTTGCACAGGAAAGCTTCTGCGGGACATCTGTCATTGTGCCAGAGCTTGAAGGGGCCCTTTATTTAAAAGAAGATGGGAAAAAGTCCTGGAAGAGGCGTTATTTTCTTTTACGAGCTTCTGGAATTTATTATGTACCCAAAGGAAAAACCAAGGTCAGGAAGCCAAATAATCCTTTTAGCAATAAAACAATTCATGGAGGTGAAAGTGAAGAACTCCCAAGGTGACATTTTAAGAGCACTGTCTGGTGCATCTGAGAGGGTTGGGGTTTTTCTGGTTTAACTTCGACTACACCACTTGTGCAAATATTAGAATGTAGTCACTGAATCCTGTCACGTTTCTCTCCTTTTGATTTCTATGGATAGATAAAAGCATTAATGAAACAGCACTCCTCCGGAAGCCAGTAGGAAAAAGAAAAACAGCACAGCACCCTTCAACTGGTGTTATGCTGCCAAAATGCTTCACTGTTATATGGGCTCCCTGTGGAAGAATATTTTAAAAGTTCTCAAATGAACTAATTTCTTATCACAAAAAAGGTGGAATTTTACTTTGATACTAACTTTCTGTACCAGTAACCAGCATGCAGAAATGCTATACATTTTTTCCTACAGTGAACTTTACCTAGAGAAAGTGTTGTGCCTTTTAAGGCTTTTTAAGACTGCCCTTTGTGTAGAAAGAAGTGAGACAGAAGCATCCACCTGATGGAATCAAATGCACTGACATTTAGTATTGCAAATTATTTAGAATCTGAATTGCCAGGACTGGAGAAGCAAAGGGGTCCTGGACATGTTGCACCTAAGGGCAGCTGGCTTCTCATTTCCACAGTGATGAGGTAGAATGGTGGCTTCTGGAACTGAGGGTAGTTTTATTTTTTTTGTATTCTGAAAACCACTTCTGTTACCACTTAAAGCTCTGCTAATACTTCGTATTTGAAAATTCTGGTGCTGCTGATGGAGGTTTACTGTTGTGATTTGTGCTGTGAAACTTAACTGTTCTGCTATTCCCTGACTAAATTACAAAGGAAAAAAAAATGACAGCTTGTAAAGGAATGCAGTGCTGCTGCTCCACGGCGATA